CGATTGGTTAAGAAGGAATGAATCCATGAAAGAAGTGGGTCATAAAAACCATAGGCTTTAAGTTTTGTTGTTAGAAGAGAATGATTAACTCTATCGAAGGCTTTTTCAAAGTCCGTATAAATAACATCAAATTGGGATTTGTTATTGAAAGATTCCAGAATTAATTGTTTAAATATACTAAGATTAGTTATTGTTGAACGCCCTGGGCGAAAACCATGTTGTTCATTTGAAAGAATGTTTTCACATAATGGAAAAATTTTATTACTTAATTACTTAAAACATATRCATGTAATTAAAAAATAAATCGTTGTAAATGTTGTAATGAAACAATTTACAGTTTAATAATATAGTCCATGACTGGTTTTCGCCGCACTCAATCAAAAGCTTGGAGCACAACTCATAGTTTGTTTTTATTATTTTRTAGGTGCGGTTATATTTCTCTCAGTAGAGTGGTTACATAATTCGTAATATGTTCCGTGTTTGTCGTCGTCGAGTCTTACCTATGACACTGCCATATTGATCTCCTCTCATAAATATAAATTAATTTGCGTATGTATGCCTACGTACACATGTATATTATTATTATATGGTGTGTTTCTCGTCATCTGCGAGTTTCGTTATTACTGTTACTTATTACTCATTTTTACTGTTTAAAAAAACATATTTTTCCGAATCTCGCCGCATTGTCTATTTTATATTGTTCAGTTTGATTTGTCACCACCTGCAACTATTCTTTTTTTTTCGTCCTCTGAATTGTATTTTGTTTGGTGCAGTGTCGTCATCGCAACCGAACGATTTGTTTACTCTTTTCCCCTCCCTAAATATTAGTCAAAATAAATACCCTAAAATTTTTATTTGCACCTAAACATTTAGAAAAGATTAGTTTAACTACAAATTTTCGATACAATTATATTTGAAATCACTATAGTAAGAAAAGATACTTATATATAATGATTGACACCATAGCTCTGTATCCTATTACAGAAATACACAATCGTTTGATTTGCATATTTTACAATAACAATATTTTGCAATAATATGATATACAATATGTAATACTGAAAACTAAATTGTATAAAATTTATATATGTATATATTATATTAATCATATTTTCAAAAGAGCTCGAGAAGTACCAATCATAGGCGAAAAACCATAGAAATTTCTGGGAGGGCTAAATTAACTAAAAAAAAACTATATTCAAATAAAATCACATGCATTTCACATGAAACCTGACAACATTTT